TGGTGTCATCCGTCCGAGGGGCCCTGAGCCTGGGGGTCACAGCAGGGTCCAGGAATGGACGTTGTCGGGCTGCTCCTCACTGCGCAGTGTTAGGAATAGGGGGATCCCCCGGATCCAGCTGGCTTCTAGACAACCTGTTTACCAGCCGTGCAGGGCCTGGCCGCATGTGGGGGTCTGTGGGATTCTGCCATCGACCCCCGTGAGCGCCACCAGAGAGCAAAGAAACTAGATTAAAGGGACAGCACCCAATTCCCCTGCACTCTCTTGGGCACAGCCCACCGACCCTTCTCCTAGTGCTCCATGGGAGGGGCGGGGCTGGGTCTATCCCGAACGGGGAGGGGACCCATCGGGCTGGGGTCTGTAACGTTGAGCGTGGCGCCCCGTTCTGACGACTAGCTCCTGTTCAGCACCTCCTTTCTACTCTTCCACCATTGCAGCTCCCAGAGTCACAGCTACCCTGTGTCTCAGCCGTCCGGCCAGGTCACGCTGTGATCCACATTCTGGGGGAGCCTTTCAAAGTCAGACCCCTCTCTCCTATGCCTGCTAGTGAAACCCTTCCTCCAGGGCCCCTAGCCCCCCCTCGGGGATCCCTAGCCCCCCTTGCCTCAGGCCCCCACCACTGGGCCCAGCCCTCGGGCTCTATAGAAACCCCACCTGTCCCCTCCCAGGCGAGCTTCCTTCTAGGTAGCGCCCTGCACGCAGCCTAAGTCACTTCCCCTTTGCAGCTTAACTGGCTGATCGGGCCCCCGCCTTAACCCCGCTCTGTCAGCGCTGGTGCAGGGAGGGGATCGCAGGGTCCTGGTCTGGAAAAGGTTGGGCCCCCAATCTGGGGGGTGGGAGAGGGTTTGTGCCACAGGGATTGGGGCACTGCAAATAGCAGGGAATAAAGGAGAATTGAATGGGGGGGTTAGATGGAGCAGACAGACTGACCGACAGACCACGCCCCCTGCAATCGGTGGGGGGTGCCTCCATGGTCATTCGCCCTCCGTGCACCCCCAGCTGTGTGTGACCCCCTTCCCCCCACGGGCAGGAAGGGGGGAGTTTTGTAGCAGCCGCATGTTAAACTATTGGCATCACAGGACTGGCAGGTGGACAGAGAGCAGCCATCAGGGCTGGGAAGAGAAGGGGATTTTCCCCCAGGCAGGAGTGAGTTGAGATGAAAATCTGATATGAAAGCTCTAACGTCTGCTCCTCTCTTCCCATCGCTCTAAGGCCCCAGCAATAACTCCAGCGCTGAGTACGAGGAAATCGAAGAGAATTTCTCTCCATGGGTACGTTTGAATCCATCCTTCATTAGTTGAGGATTTTGCCCTGAGTTTTTTATCACCAATATGGAAATTCCCAGACAAAAACCTTTGCTGTTAGTATTATGGTGACCCCTATAAACCCCATCCCAGATAAGGGCAATCCTGTGTTTATTCCTTTCATTGCTGGGACTCGATCCTCCTCGTCCTTCTAGTAGAGCGGCTAAAAAACAGGAGGACGAGGCTCTCTGCGTCTACTGGAAAGTGGTGGCCAAGAGCTGCAGCTGGTCTCCGGACGGCTGCACCGCCGTGCACACGAACAGCACTCACACCAACTGCAGCTGTGACCATCTCTCCAGCTTCGCCGTCCTAATGGCTCCCACCACAGTGACGGTATCTCACTGTGAGACTCGATCACACGGCTGGACCCTGAGCTCCGCACTCAGCCGTGGGCAAAGCTCTCCATGGAGTGACTGGAGGCTTTGCTGGGGAAAAGGCTGAGTCGGAGCCGAGGGGGCTGGGCTGGGCTCACTGGTGATTCTCCCTTTGCTGTGTTACAGAGGAGTTACCCACTGTCCATCGTCAGATACGTCGCACTGACCCTGTCACTGCTGTGCCTCTTGCTCGCCATCCTCACCTTCCTCCTCTGCCGCTCCATCCGCAACATCAGCACCTCCCTCCACCTGCAGCTCTGCCTCTGCCTCTTTGTGTTCCACGGGTTCTTCTTCAACCCGTTGCCCCAGAGCGACAATCAGGTACGGCCCGATTCTCCCCTGCTCTGTTCCTCCACTCGCAGCAGGGCCGGGCCATGTGGCTTTGAACCCCTTTGTGCTCCCTGGACTCTGGGCTGTGCAGGGCACAGGGGGGTTTCCGGGTGATGTTTCCAGCCTCTTAGGCCCCTTCACACTGGGCACAGTGGTCTGAGTGTCCCCAACCCCTGGAGTTCAGCCAGTTCTATCCCTATGTCACAGGCTCCCTGTGCCTCAATTCCTCTCCTACGTGACTTGCCCGTGGTCACCCAGGGACTCTGTGTCAGGGCTGGGAAAAGAACCTGGATCCCCTGAGCCCTGTTCCCCTGCTCTAACCACTAATCTCTGCTCCCTTCCTGCATCAGCAATGTGCACCCGCAGGACCCTCCATAGAACGAGGAACCTGCCGTCTCTGGGTCATGGAGCATTATGACTGGAGAGCTGTGCTAACAAGAATCCCAGTGTGACCCCCCCCACCCCCGGCAGGTCTCCCCCATACTCAGCATTTCCCTTCCCCACCGCAGTGTCCCTGGGCTCTCTGTCTCCCCCAGGTGGCGTGTGCTGTCATTGCTGCACTCCTACACTACCTCTTCCTGGCCTCCTTCTCCTGGATGTTGCTGGAGGGGCTGCACCTCTTCCTCATCGTCAGGAACCTGCAGGTCGTGAATTACACCAGCCGGTTCATTAAGAGATTCATGTACCCGTTCGGCTACGGATTCCCAGCCCTGGTGGTGGCTATTTCTGCAGCAGTGAATCACAAAGGCTACGGATTTTACACACTGTACGTGCAGTGCCCATCCCAAAGGGGAGCTGGGATGTGGCTTCCATGCAGTTGTCCGACTCACCCCAGGTCTGACTTGAACTGAGATTTCCCTGCTCACCCTGCCTGGGAGCTGAATGTCCCCCAGGACCCTTCCCATCCCCAGGGACACTAAGCTGCCCCGAGTGCTGTAGTTGAGTTGCCCACCTGTCAGACATCTGCACTCCTCACCCCACTGATGATGCAGAAGAACAAGCCAGAGAGATCCCAGCTTGACTCCCAGGTCCCAGGCTGGATTTGTGGGGCTGGTGGGTAGGAAACAAATGCATCTTCTTCCTGTGTGCAAATCCCTGAGGATCCCCTCTCTAAAGTGAGTGACTCACTAAAACAGGGTGTGGCGTGTTTTAGACACCCCAGGCTAGATCCTCAGCTGGTATAAATCAGGGCAGATCACTTCCTTCAGTGCAGCGAGGCCAATGTCCATCCACTGCATGTCTGGCCCTCCAGCAATACTGCGCGCATCCACCAGAAAGGGTCATTTGAGGAGGTGGAAGAGGAAGTGGTGGCTGAAAGCAGGAGATGCTGAGGTACATGGGGAGGGCTGTTTACCTGCTGCCCGTAAGAGAGTCGGCCATGTCCCAGGCAGGCTGAGATCCATCTCGCTTTTGAGAGCCAGCTGCCCTGTGACACCCCCTCTCTGCCCCCGGGGCTGAAAAAGGGCAGTAATCCCATTAACGTCACCTTCTTCTTCCTCCCTCCCTCTAGCTGCTTTCTCAGCCCGGAGAGAGGCTTTCTTTGGAGCTTCCTGGGTCCAGTCTGTGCCATAATCCTGGTGGGTACCTCCCAGAACCACAGGGCCCCATTCTCCTCTCACCTCTGTGACCCCATTGATTTCAGTGAAGCAGGGAGGAGAATGTGGTATATAAAATAAATATAAATTATAAAGATATCCCAACTCCTAGAACGGACCTTGAAAGGTCATTGAGTCCAGCCCCCTGCCTTCACTAGCAGGACCAAGTACAGATTTTGCCCCAGATCCCCCAAGTGGCCCCCTCAAGGATTGAACTCACAATCCTGGGTTTAGTAGACCACTGCTCAAACCACTGAGCTATCCCTCCCCGTAAAATACAAGGAAAAACCCAGTTAGGTCCCACCTGGCTCATCTGCTGGGTTACTCACAGGATTAGTCCCTGTGCTGCATCCCCAGGCCTACAGCTTTTAGTCGGGCACAGCTCCCACGGATGTCAGGAGTTTTCCCAAGTGAAGACAGCAAGAGTGTGATCTAGTCTAGTTAATGACCCAAGGAACAAGGAAGGGCGAGGGCTGCACTCTGCAGTGGTTTTTCTGGGGGTGGGGGGAACAAATGTCCCTACATATTCCTCCCTACCCCCTGGGGACGTTGGGGGTGCGGGGAATTTGTTAGAGCTGGAAAGTGGCAGGAAGTATTCTAGAGGCAGGATCTGGAATCTCTGAGCCAGATCCTGCTCTGTTACACCAGTGTAAACACAAAATTGCTACTGACTCTACTGGAGAGGCTCCATATTTAACTTTGAGGAGCATCTGGCCTCTGTGATCCCATTGATCCATCTCAGCCCTGGCTGTGCTGTCAGCTCCACGCATGGGAAGGGACCGAGAGCAGCCAGGGGATATTACAGGAGAGGGGATGATTCCCACCAGAAACAAACAGTCCCCGGTTCTGCAGTGTTCGGTTCGTTCCCCTGGGATCGTTCTCTGCCTCAGCTGGAGTCATCGGCCCCGGATGGGATGTTTTACAGGAAATATTTCCCACTGTTCCCACAGATAAATATAACGTTCTTTGCCCTGACTCTGTGGATCCTCAGAAAAACACTCTCCTCCCTCAATGCAGATGTGTCCACCCTCAGAGACCACAGGTGAGAAGCCAACAAAAAAATCCTGGAGGGTCAGATGCCTTGGTTTGGACGGTCCTTGGCACAGGGAGGGTGTGAGGGATTGCAGGAGGGGAACAGCATATCTAGGATCCATGGGAACAAATAAACACAGTGTTTTTATTGACAGTAACCCTGTCCCACACAGGAAAGCTGGAGATGTTAGCTCCACCCCATTCTGCCCAGATTCTCCTGCCCCAATTACTCTCCATAGGGTTATTGTAACAGGATCTCTCCATCTGCCTTTATCCAGGTTACTGACCTTTAAAGCCATTGCCCAGTTTTTCATTCTGGGATGCACATGGGGACTTGTTCTCCTCCAAGTCAGCCTAGGAGGCACGGTCATGACGTATTTATCCTTCATTGTCAACAGCCTGCAGGGACCCTTCATCTTCCTGGTGCACTGTCTCCTCAATCGCCAGGTAATGCCCACAGCCCGTCAGCGCCCACACAGCACCTTCACTGGCCTTGCGGTGGCCATCTCTGATCTTCTCAGAGTTACTTACATAGTGCAGTGACCGTGTCCCTCACTCTCCAGGTGAGAGAGGAGTACAGGAGATGGATCAAGAGATTCCGAACGTACCGCACAAAATCTCAGACATCCGATCTATCCATGTCTGCTGTCCCCACCACCAGCACCAAGACGGTAAGAGGTTCTCTGCTGTGTTCCAATACCAGCCTGTGACACAGTCATCTCTAGCTGGGTCTCATCACTGCTGTAAAGGTGCTTTGCCCCCGAATGACTCAGGATTGGTTATGAGCCAGCTGGGAACATCACTGCAAGTGTTAGTGAGAGTCGGTCACTATCGAGGAGTATCCTAGATGTCTTAGGCACCAGAAGAGAATGTCCTGTCCTGGCACCTCCGCGTTCCCTTCCCTTGGCTCTCCTGGGAGCTCCAGGGGTCACTCACTGTGGGCTAGGCAGGCATTGGCTCTTGCAGTGTAATGATCTGAATAGATCAGATTGTCCCCTGGGATTGACACCTTGTCAGTGCAGACGGATCATCCCCAGTGAGCAGTCAGCACCGTGAAGAATTTCCCTTGGCTCCATTATCCCTATGAGTCAGGATCCAGGGGCTTTGTGTGTCGCCTCCCAGAGACAACCCGCCAGTTTGCACATTACACTCTCAGTGGCCTTGGAACCTATTGTCATTTTTCTGCTTTTCTTGGCAGAAGTAACCCTTCTGCCAGGCAGAGTCGGCAGCCACCAGGGCCGGGTTCAATACCTAGGGGTTCCAATACAAATCAGAACCGGCTGGAGCCCCCTGTGACGTTGCACTTCATATGCTCATATTTGTTACATGAATATGACAAAACTGTAATATGCTTTATGCTAAATACCCCTTGTATGGTGTCTTTAGAAAGCTTGTAATCTACTAAGTGTGTTCATCCTATTTGTTTGCATGTGTTATTTCTATATCTGGAGTTAGGAGAATAAGATATAAACTTGTATCACTGATGAAAAACATAGTAAGTGGAGGCCATTAAGGGTGCTCCCGAAACAATCAGTTGTAAATGGCCTTAGTTACTTGAAAGCCTCCCAGTGTACGTGTGGGCCAGCCCATGGGAAATGGAGACTGGGGGGCTCACATTGACATGTGACCATTCACCTGATAATGAAATCCATCTTAAACCTGGTACTTTTCCATTTAGAAGGAGGGGTGGGAACCCAGAGAGAGAAAAGATTCCTGCCTTGTGCCAAAGCTATAAAAGTGTGTGGAGCAGGACAAAGGGATGCTGGTCATGAGAAAACCCCTGCTTACCACCTGAGATGTCTGCTGGATCTGACAAAGGCTGTACCAGGGGAAAGGACTGGGCCCAGAAAAGGAAGGAGTGTATGAAAGAAACATATTGGAACATTTCTGAGGGTGAGATATTACCTGTAATCAGTTTCTTAATGTATTAGGCTTAGACTTGCATGTTTTGTTTTATTTTGTTTTGAGACTTTCTTTGTTCTGGCTGTTATTACTTGAAACCACTTAAATCCTACTTTTTATGCTTAATAAAATCACTTTTGTTTATTAATAAACCCAGAGTAAATGATTAATACCTGGGGGAGCAAACAGCTGAGCATATCTCTCTATCCCTGATACCATGATGTAGAGGGCGAAAAATTTATGAATTTACCCTGTACAAGCTTTATACAGAGTCAAATGGATTTATTTGGGGTTTGGATCCCATTGGGAGATGGGTGTCTGGGTGCTGGAGATAGGTAAACAGCTGAGCTGTTTTTAGTTAGTCTGCAGCTATGGGACATGGCCCAGACCCTTGCAGCTGGTTAGCGTGTCTGACTCAACAAGGCAGGGAGCTGAAGTCCCAAGCTGGCAGGGGAAACAGGCTCAGAGGTAATTTCAGCACATCAGGTGACAGTCCCAAG